GACTAAGACGATCTACAAAGAAAGATCACGGAATATGTTTTCGCCAAAAATAAATTACCGTCCTAACCTGCGGCCTGACCGGCACAAAGGGCACCAATAAAACATCCAGCTTGCAAAATACCCACAATGCTTCCTGTTGTTTCATCGCGTAATGTCTGACGCTGAACATCATCTTGATCACCAAATGTCGTGATAAAGTCTCTTATGGTCAATACACCAGAAATGACACCAATATCATAGCCAAAGAGCAGCCCTCCAATAGCGGCGAAACAACCAATAATGTAAACTTGAGCATTTGACGACCGCATCAGTGATCCACTATAAAGAACACTATTTTATTACATAACAACAGAAGTTAATCTCTCGCCTGTTCAGATTTAGCTTTGACTTTTAAAGTTTTTTGTCTTTATTTAATACTTAAACCAAAGCGTTTCCGAAAGCCGGCCAGATAACTGGTTGCTTACCCGATACAAGACGGATGGACGGTATATAATTTAATGATACTGTAGGTTAAATGTTAAAGAAAGGAACAAGCATTCATCTCACAATAAGCAACAGCCTCTCTGTTTCTACCAGACGAAAGTTAGCATATATACTGAATGATATATGACATACAATAGTTTGATCGTCACAAACCACTGAATAATACAAGGCAAATATAGGATATGTATCTCCGTTGTTCATGACACATATGTCTAGTTAGACGATCAAACTGCTATATGTCATATTGTATGTATACTGAACAATGGAGATATATATCACATAGAGTTCTATCGTGCAGTGTAAATTCCTCTTTTTCTCGATGTCGCATGCAGATATCTGAGTGTAAGATATATCAACGTGTGCCGACGAGAGAAGAATAAAATTTTTCTTTTTTCTTCTGTTTTCTCTCATGGTCTGAATGATTCATCCTTTTCAATAGAAGCGAAAATATAAATGCGTTTTCTATAGTTTATACAAAAAATGAAAACAAAAATGGTAGTTTAAAGACAAATAATATACAGAAATACTCGTTTTTGCAAAAAACTTCGAACATGTGCTTCTTGAACTGAAAATAGAGCCGATTGAGAGAAAGTCACTCACTCTAAAAAGAATTTGCTTGTAGTCAAAATGCGAAGAACACTGTCTGAATAAGCGATTTTCCCCTAATCGACTCCAGTTCTCTGAAAAATTTTTTTTTATTTTTATGTCGTATTCCTTACCCACTTAATACTTCAGTAGCAAGATTGAGATCAAATTAACTATACCAACAATCCAGCACACCTCTACCCCAACCTCATGTAAGAAAAAAACTAGCTCTGATGTTTGCTAAAAATGCGGCACAAAGGGAAATGCCATACCATTCGGACTAGCTGTGTCTGTATAGTTCGGCTACTGCTTTAAACGTTTCAATTTCTTTTGTCAAATGTTCAACAGTGATTCTTTTGTTGGAAAGATAATAATTAAATAATTGTTTATCTTCATTCGGGATTTGTCGAAGTTCATTTGCACGAATTGGGGTGAGGAGCGGGCTGCCATTGCTCAAGCCTTTATCGGCTAAAATTTTCGTGTGAAGCGGTATAGATGAAACGTTCTGGAGGGCTCGAGAGTGTAACAACATCCGACTGTCATGGACGGACCCCAAATACCCACTCTTGAAATAAATAAGTCTTCGATTCGTCGATACAATATATATGGAGCCGAAACAATGGCCTTTCTTTTTTCCCGAATAAAATAGACGTTGGTACTGGCCTGTGTTGGGAAAAAAAGAAAAATCTTGTCGGAGTATCGACCACCACAAAGGGTAGCGTATAATGTATAAATAAAAGTGAAAGTGACATATTTCTCAGCAGCGATGCAGAGAAAAATAAAACTTATTTCACTTAATACAAAATTCCAATTCGTCAAGTTAGCGTTTATCTCGCAAAAATTAAGTTTTAAAAACAGGTTTATCGCAGCAGTTTTTATCAAAAACCAATTTCAGCATTAAGAATACTTGACGAAAAATTAACGGAAGCAGTTGGAAGCAAGATGGATATAATGAGAAGCTTCCCTAGTAAAAATCTTAGACACTTCTTAAAATTATCTTACTGAGTTCTTATAAGATCTTATCCTTTAAGATTTTGAAGATAATCTAAGATTTTAATCAGATTTAATGACTGTGCTTTCGTTCGCCCTTTTGTTATGCTCTCATTCATCTATATAAGTAACACCGAAAATATGAGCGATTTTATGGTTATTCTTCTTCCAGACTCTGCTATGCTCTCTCGAAAGTATTCAACAACTTTTTAGAGTGTACATGCAGGTCAATGTCCATAGTTGGACATCCGAAAATATGAAATTTCTCTTCATTCTTCAGCACTGTTCAAGTGCTGCTTTGGATAATGCGTATTCAAAATTCAAAAATTCTCAGCGAATCTCGAATGAATACTACTAAAAAAACGTCATCGTTCTTTCTATTAAGATCCTAACAGATTCTTACCCAACCTTGAAAAAATCTTAGACGGTATAATCTTAGTTAGATCTTGGCAGAATCTTATCAAATCTTAAAATTTTCGGGTCTCACGATCTTAGTAAGATTTGTCTAAGACCTTATAGAAATGTAAGCGAAATCTTGCTAAGATCTTAGTAAGATTTTCCAGTAAGTTTTTCATTAGGTTTGATTGATTAAAATTAAAAAAGTTAATTCTCACTTGGGCGTCTGATGGGGTGCCTCGCACCGTCTATCGCTCCAATGTACCGAGCCAAAACAGGATGATATACGGTCATTTGTGCAAATTCTTGAGCATTTGGTCATACAATCAATGTTTTTATTGTTATCACCAAAACAGGAAAACAAAACAATTTTATTCTGCTGATTTTGTTAGGAGAGATGTTGAACATTAGACTAATGACAGCATAAGTTGGATAATTCCTAAGCCAAATTAAGAGCAATAATAGTATATTATTGCCAAGATAAATATCACTTATACGAAATCGTAGAGCTGTCAATTTCTGAAGTATGTTAACTCGATATTTATAATAGATTTCATTAAATTGTTCAACAGTAACTCCGGTAAGTTCACAGAATCGACGGGGAGTGCGACATAATTCCACATAAAGATCACAAATACTTTGATTTTGATAGCGAACAGATGATATCATGAATTGTCGTATGCTCATCTTAGATAGTATGGGCAAATTCTTGTATACCTGTGCTCTGCTTTAAAGAGATATGCTCGTCTCCCTAGCCAAAAATGCACACTGTGTGACGGACGTACATACATACAGTCATGTGGCAGTGCGACGAACGCACATACACATAATCATGTGGCGGTGTGAGGAATACGGTAGACGTAAATGTCACAGGCTGATAATTTTATGTGTACGGGAAGCTATGCTCTTCCTCTGATTCATATGACTTGCTTTTCTGACAAAGAAATATCAGAGAGACAGCAATAATGACGAGAACAATCAAAGACAAACTTATATTGCGTGAAAACTATATAACTCTTTTAATCTACGCGCCGCATTCCTATATGTTACAATCAAAGAAAGCAAATAGAACAATTTTAGTGTATGTTTCTATAGTTGGGAAAGTTCAGTCTCGATTCGTTCATAACTGTTCACTCTCGTTCTTGATGTCACCTTTAATGTTGTTTGATCTTAAAAAGCCAATTAGAGACAGATGGAGACGACACCGGCTCAGCATGTATATATACCGAAAATTATCACAAGAATTTCACTTATCACTAAAATAACACCCGATTTCATAATATTTCTTCTTCTCGCTTTCTTCGCTTTAGTCAACTCACAAGCAGTAAGTAGTATTGTCCTCGGACACATCATATAATGCATCGATTTTTCCCTTCTAGCAATATAACAGTATCATTGACCTGCTCCAGGTAGAGCAGATTCCAAACACCATCGTCACCTTAACAACAACTATCACCACCCCTACCATCGAATCAAAAACCGCTCAAACACATGGAACAAAACTGAAAGACATTGGTGAATTTATCCAATCTGTTACTGGCTGCGTAGCAGCTCTTGGATCGATCACGGGTACGGTTATATGTTGGTGTGGAATACGATGTTATTGTAACGGAGGGGAGTGTAAGGTAAGACATTAATGCCTCATATCATTATGCATTTAACTTACCTGCTGCTCTTCTTTAGAGCGCTTGATGGTACTCGAAGACGTTAAACGAATATCGTCGTCGCCGCGATGCAGCGCGAGGTGAGTATAAAACTGTTTTTTCTATTAAAAACACATGATTTTTTCTTTTCTTATAGAAAGATAAGTCGCCCTCAACCGTCTCTCCACATCAAACCCTACCACTGAGTACTCAATAGCCTGATCGTTCTATTACTTCATTTTCTCTTTTTTTCGAATTTTCTACTGACTGCTTTTTTACTTCGACATAAATAAACGTCCAACTACGATTAAAAGCATAAAACACATAACATAAGGAACTCATGGCACATCAATCAAACATAAAGTGGCCACAATCAAAAGACAAAGATATAGATCGTTGCCATTACTCAAAAAAATAATAACAAAATCCTAAATAGCGAATTTCTCCTTAATAACTTTGTCAAAAGTGAGAAGTAAGATGTGCAATCGATAGAGCATGAAAAGTTCTATCTGGAGCCATCAAAGATAGGGTTGGAGTCAGTGAAGAAACGAATCGCGACAGGTTTTGCGGGAATTAGCGAAACTGGCTGTCGGTTTTTGACTGTAATCATGGGTTTTCTCATTGATAGTGTGATTAATTTTTAAAGCGACACCTGGAACAGAAAGAGCTGGTCGGGTACTGCTTGGAGCCAATGAAAGCAGAGTTGGAACCAGTCTGTGGGCGAATCCTTTCAGGAAATGCTCGAATTCTGACCTAGGATACCCGACGTTTCATTTTTTAATTCTGTACGACTTCAATAACCAGTCTGAACAGGCGAGAGATTAACTTCTGTTATTATGTAATAAAATAGTGTTCTTTATAGTGGATCACTGATGCGGTCGTCAAATGCTCAAGTTTACATTATTT